AAATACATAAGAATTATGTGATATGTATGTAAATCACAATTTCTTTTTGGGGGCATTTACATACATATAACTCAATTCCTATGTATTTACATATCTAGAACCCAAATTTTACCTTTTACATTTATACAATCCTAATCATTTGAACTTCTAAAACATGAAATACGCTTTTTCATGCATAGATAAGTTGACATTTTTTAAAAATTGAAGTTTAGGTTTTTGATATATAAATACATAGGAATTAAGTGATATGATATGTAAATGCCCCTTATTTTTTTATTGTGTCATCCTTTCCCAGGGGCCACGCCAATATTTTCACCATCATTCCAAATTATTTGCTTCCCTTGATACTCATGTTTATTTTTATCAGGCAGATGCAAAGATGCTCGCCAAACAAGTCATCCAGAATGGGGATATTGTTCTTCCCTTCGACATCGGAGCTGCTACAGCCATCTCTTCTCCACCATTACAGATTTCTTTTCCTCCCCCATCACAGCCATTTCGATTGCCTGACGATACATGCAGTGATTATTCGAGTCCTCTAAAGGTTGACGGAAACTTCAACTTCGGCTACTCGGCAATCTCTTCGCCCGATATTTTTTCGAGGAGTTTCGACTCGTTCTCTCACCAATCTGCAGAACTTTTGGGTTCCCGATATGAACCGGAGTCTGCGGACCTTGATAAAATTTCGAACCCTCATGTATTGTTTGATGAGAGCAGGAGCCACGAATTTTTCTGTGAGAATTTGCAGTATTATGATCCGGATATATCGTACCTTTCAAAGACCCTTGGCATAGAATCCCAATCTGATTTGGGTTCGGCTGTAGCCAGCTTTATCACCAGAACTCAGTGGAGGCCTTATGCTGTGTGGGGCATATTGCTCCTTGTGGTGAAATGGAAGTTTTCAATTAAGAAGAAAGTTGCGACGAAGAAGAAGCAGAGATTTGGACAAAGAGTTTATTTGGTAGAAGAAAATATGAAGTAGGGTGTAAATTCAAGTGGATTTTGGGTTGGTTTTAATAAGCGTGTAGCCCCAAAAAAGTCCCCTCATTATTTACGTGGGTTTATTTTAATCCCGGAGTCTATAAAAGTATGAAATTAGTCCCCGTAATCTTTTACGAAGTCTTACTTGCATACCACTAAATTCTTATGCATTTAACACCCAAACTTTTAAAATAGTTGTATTTTTGATGTGATGTGGAGAATTTAGTGGTGATATGAACGTAAAAAGCTTACGTGTTAGGCATGTAAATACATAAGAATTAGGCGGCATGTATGTAAATGCCCCATTCTCTCAATGTGTTA